CGAGGGAGTCAATTATTTCAAATTTTGCTCCCTGGAGGTTGTGCCCTAAATATTTTGTTTTACTATCCCATTAAAACAAAAAAATGATCACATATGGGCTTTTTAAGTGTTCCAAATTTGGTTCCTTGATTAATTTCCGATGTCAATAACCTCAGCATCAGAGCCTGAATTGTCACTGACCAGTTTTGTTGCATCAGACTCCATTTCAACTCGACAGGTAGCGGATAAAAGAAAGAGAAGAAGGCAAGAGGGGTGGGGGGGGGGGGGTAGGTGATTATTCGAGGGAGCCGATTATTTTAAATATTTTCAACTAAAGGGGGCGATTATTTGAGGGAGGCGATTAATCGAGGAACGGCTATTATTCAAGGAAATACAGTACATTCTATAACGATTTTCCATTACATACATATGGTAAGCCGGAGCTCACAGCATTGGCATAGTAAATAGCAAAGTAGATTGACATAGAAGATAGCATTAGTAAATAGAAAAGAAGATTATAATACCATACTACTTTTCTGTTTACTAATGCTATTTACTATGTCAATCTACTTTGCTATTATAATGATTTTTTACAAAGGCTTAAAAAAGAAGCTAGAAAATTGACCAGAATCAACCTCTGTTTCATTCCCATTCTCCCTGTTCGTTGATTTATAGGCTTTAAAAGTGAAAGTCACACCATGGCTTTGAATGACGTTGACACCACCACACCCAAAGCAAGGTTCTGGGCCATCCGTTAAACTTTTAACAACATAGTCCGCATTCTTCCTCAAAATAACTGGATCAAAAACAACATCATAGCCACGGATTTCCTCTTCTCTGTAGGGCAACGAGACAGGAGAAAAAGACATATCTTCCAAAGACAACATTTGTGTACCATTTTCCTTGTCTATTATTTTCAAAGAATCCAGATAGTTGGTGTTCTTTAAACAACCAAAAAAACGAATCCCACGAAGCATGATATCCTTGTCTACCTGTAGAACAATGGCATCAAGAACGAGGGAATCATAATCTCTAGATCCCTCATAGGACCAGTCTTCTGGTTCACAACTGCAAGACGAAAAGCTTGTAAATCTGCTACTCGACCAGCTGAAACCTACTCGCCCCTTGTCAGGAAAACCTGCGGATGAAGACAACGTGCCATTAAAATTCCTCAACAATTCTCTCACTTCTGTCCTGGTAAGGATATTTGAGTCAATTACGGTACTTGTAAAATCTTTCTCCTCCATTACTGGAAATTGTATGTTTTTCACTATTTGCTCTCCAAGAATTCTTCGCTTAACCTTGCCACTTGCGTGAACTCCTTGCCTTTTACATTCTTCTGTAGCCCACAAATCAACAGCTCTGAATCAGTTGGCCTACCGAAACTTCATGAGAGGAGAGAAAAGATTTCAATCGATCTGTTTGACGAGATCGTCTGTAACCCCACCCACAGTCTCCATAGCCTCCTTCCCCAAAGGAAGAGTTGTAAATATGCTTTGAGACGCAAAAGTGATTTCACTCTCCCCCTATGTAAAACCGTGCGTTTGAAGAAAAGTTTTATTTTTAGCCATGTCTATAAGATGTAGATAATTTTTCTTATTTTCTCTTTAATTTGTTATCATCAGTATTTGTAAATATCCCGTAATTCAGCCTATGGCTGCAATGGTGTTTATAATAAAGTATCTATCTATCTTCATGTCGCTCATAGATCTGCCTGGTGGAAACAGCCATTTCTCCTTGCTCCTCCCCGCTAAGGACGTTTTGCTAGGAGAGACGTCTGCGCTTCAGCGACAGAAATTCCATACTGATAACATAAAATCTGTCTGGAATCTGTTCAGGACCTCTGATTGGTTGATGTAGTAGTTGTATGGTTTTAGCTATTGTTTACGAATGACGGACAAAAGGCAAAAGACCACAAAGGTCAAATGTAAATGCGATGAACCCGAAACAAAACAGTCAATATTTGTGGAATATATCCTTTTATAGCTAAAAAAGTATAAGACAAGATGCAAAAATATTTAGATACTGTGTTCTAAAATATATATTTTCATATTATCACTCGAGGTTTAATAGAAAAAAAGGCCCTTTTTTGAGTTTTCTATAGTAAAAAGCCTCACAATTTTTGGAGTTGTTTGTAACCATCCCCCAATAACTTGAAAAGATTTTCTACACAAAAGCAGTGTAGACCATTTAAACAGTGTTAGATATAACTTTGGCTCAGCATATCAGTAATAATAATACTGATCAATTATTGATCCAGCAATTTTGACAGCATAAAAAATGATTGAATGGAAAAATAAGCAATATTATTATACAATTTAGCTGAAAAACATTATATCTTTACACACAAAAAGATCACTGTGTGATGGTTACATCGTACAATTGCACCTTTCAACAATATTTATGGTTTGGTATTTCTTTGGTGCTTATGTAATAAAATAGTAGAACATTACAAGGCCACTGGGAAATATCAAATTTCTCTTCTCACAATAAAAAAAATATTTCACTCATTCAACAACTTGTGAAATATTTTTCATCAGGTCAAAGAGAAAATTCTTATCTTTGCAGGGCCTTATTTATTTATATTTATCTTCGTTTCATCTAATTTGAAAACAACAAAAAATGGTTTAAACTGTTTGGTTCTTCAAGAAGCTCTAACTTTAAAATATCTATAATAATAATAATAATAATAATAATAATAATAATAATAATAATAATAATAATAATAATAATAATAGTCTTTATTGCCAAAAGATAAAAGTACATATCTTTTGTTACATTCTAGTTGCCTATACACTCAATAAAAATATACCCTAAAAATTAAACTAGTTTAACTACAAATGGATGATAAAATACTACTTAGAAACTATCTTATCCTGTGTTTAAAAATCAGTCTATTTACATAAGATGTCATAAATCGATCAGCATTAACCTTGGGGAGGGCACACTGTTTTTTACGTAGATTAACCCTAACCCTAACATTAACTTTGGTTGAACAACTGCTGGTGTTTTTTGATCGGGCCTTTTTGCACTAACCAGAAATCAGAATAGTTCTCACCTACATTTACAAATACCTTATTTCCCCCAATAATAGCCGGGGGCAATTATTATTTTTTCCGTACAAAAAGAGGGAGATCATTCGAGGGAAGGCAATTATTCGAGGGAGTCAATTATTTCAAATTTTGCTCCCTGGAGGTTGTGCCCTAAATATTTTGTTTTACTATCCCATTAAAACAAAAAAATGATCACATATGGGCTTTTTAAGTGTTCCAAATTTGGTTCCTTGATTAATTTCCGATGTCAATACCCTCAGCATCAGAGCCTGAATTGTCACTGACCAGTTTTGTTGCATCAGACTCCATTTCAACTCGACAGGTAGCGGATAAAAGAAAGAGAAGAAGGCAAGAGGGGTTGGGGGGGGGGGGGAGGTGATTATTCGAGGGAGCCGATTATTTTAAATATTTTCAACTAAAGGGGGCGATTATTTGAGGGAGGCGATTAATCGAGGAACGGCTATTATTCAAGGAAATACAGTACATTCTATAACGATTTTCCATTACATACATATGGTAAGCCGGAGCTCACAGCATTGGCATAGTAAATAGCAAAGTAGATTGACATAGAAGATAGCATTAGTAAATAGAAAAGAAGATTATAATACCATACTACTTTTCTGTTTACTAATGCTATTTACTATGTCAATCTACTTTGCTATTATAATGATTTTTTACAAAGGCTTAAAAAAGAAGCTAGAAAATTGACCAGAATCAACCTCTGTTTCATTCCCATTCTCCCTGTTCGTTGATTTATAGGCTTTAAAAGTGAAAGTCACACCATGGCTTTGAATGACGTTGACACCACCACACCCAAAGCAAGGTTCTGGGCCATCCGTTAAACTTTTAACAACATAGTCCGCATTCTTCCTCAAAATAACTGGATCAAAAACAACATCATAGCCACGGATTTCCTCTTCTCTGTAGGGCAACGAGACAGGAGAAAAAGACATATCTTCCAAAGACAACATTTGTGTACCATTTTCCTTGTCTATTATTTTCAAAGAATCCAGATAGTTGGTGTTCTTTAAACAACCAAAAAAACGAATCCCACGAAGCATGATATCCTTGTCTACCTGTAGAACAATGGCATCAAGAACGAGGGAATCATAATCTCTAGATCCCTCATAGGACCAGTCTTCTGGTTCACAACTGCAAGACGAAAAGCTTGTAAATCTGCTACTCGACCAGCTGAAACCTACTCGCCCCTTGTCAGGAAAACCTGCGGATGAAGACAACGTGCCATTAAAATTCCTCAACAATTCTCTCACTTCTGTCCTGGTAAGGATATTTGAGTCAATTACGGTACTTGTAAAATCTTTCTCCTCCATTACTGGAAATTGTATGTTTTTCACTATTTGCTCTCCAAGAATTCTTCGCTTAACCTTGCCACTTGCGTGAACTCCTTGCCTTTTACATTCTTCTGTAGCCCACAAATCAACAGCTCTGAAGAGCTCTACCTCTGAAATTGTCAATGTGGCTCTCTTGACCATGGCTTCGAGTAAGGACTTGTCAATTTTCACAAAGTCCTCCGACTTTACGACTTCTTCAGTTTCGCTTTCGATCATTTCCCAGCAGCGATCCACAAGATTCTTCTCGTCATACTTTTGAGCGTGAGACAGAACACAGAGTACGTTTGCAAGATCTAAATTCCTCGTCAGAAACACGACGCATTTTTGGGCAAGAGAGGGCAGGATATATTTCTTGGCCACATACAACACTTGAAGAACATTGCCTCCGTGCAATTCCACTGTATTGCTGTACATATATCGCAACATTTCCAAGATTCCCTCGTATTCACAGTCTGGTAGATCAATAGTATTCGATTTCTCAGCCATTTCTCCACAGAACATGGCGTAAAAAACAGGACTGTAGATGGACAACAAAAACTTGTGTGCTGGAATCGCCATCTTGGCTCTCTTAGCATCCTTTTTGCCGCATGACGATCTCACAACAAAACTGACATCGCTTAGCAGATCGTTGTTGAATAAACAGGTTATCCTCTCCCTTATTTGTGATTTTTCATCACTCAGATTCTCAAAGAAATCCATTACAACACTGAAATTGGGGGTGGAAGCGAAATATGTTGGTTTTAGTGTTCAATATTCAAACTGTCAATATTCAATATTCAGTACTCAAACTTCAATATTTAATATTCAAACCTTAAAATTCAATATTCAGACTTCTATATTTATCTTATTTTCATTATTTAACCAAATATTAGGGTGCTAATGGGGGTACAAAATTCTTAGTTAACTGCTATTTTTTCGGCCAAATATCAGTTAACTACTATTTTTTGGGCCAATTCTCAGTCAACTGCTAATTCTGGTAAGCTATTAACTTTTTCTTTCCTACAGCAGCGAATATTATTCCGTCATAATTAACCCAGAATTTTCTTTACTTCATCACGTCAATCACTTTTGGGGGTAGGCCCTAGTAAAATCAAGTTATAAAGTTAAAGTAACTGACAATCGAGAAAGACCGGTTTAAACCACACGAGGTTACAAAAATTATTTCTGGTCAGTACAAATTTCATGTACCTAAAAGAAAGATGCTGATTTCTTTCCCGGGGGGAGGGGGGAGGTACTTGGGTTAATTTTTGCTGGGTATGTGCCACTGGCCTCTCAGAACCCCTACACCATTATAGTCTGTTCTGTGGCCAATTATAGACCCCATCTTAGTCACTTTTGAGCATGCAAATGTAAGTTTCAGTAGCAAAACAATCTTTTCAATGCATGGTCACATCATAGGATTTTGTCCTCATACTGAGAACGTTATAACGACACATCTCTACGTACACGTCACCATCATCATTGGGCGTGACAGTGACTACTCTCATCTCTAAAATCTATAACGTAGGAGAAAGCAGCCTAATTATCATGTACACGGATCAAAAATAAAGAACTCCGTTATTATTTTCTATTGGATATCTCCTTCATAAATTTTCCCTAAAACTTGCATTAGTCTCATCTCGAGTAGAGTTTTATTTCCGAGCCTGCTCGACTGAGCTAGTTGCAAATAACGTGCTACTTACAGAAGGATTTGTTCTTAAAAAGTTTTCGGTCCGAAACAAGTTCTCAGAGCCTATCATCGCTTTATTAAAGAGGGTAGACTTATTAATGATTCAAATGACGAAAAATGAAATGTTCAGTTACTGTGGCGTTTTACCAAATCTAGCTGATTAAGATCTCTAATCCGTTTTTCATCCGGTCCTCAACCCAAGTGCTTCTGCATCCTTTTTAAAGGTTCAGGCAATGTGCGTGTTTCCAAATCTAGCTGATGCAAACTCCCCAATCATTTTTGCGTCCTTAACTCAAGCGCTTTTGCATCATTTTGTTCGAGAGCTTATTTCACTGAATCGAAGAACAACAAAACAATTTTTTATAACAATGTTTTGTTTTAACTTTCTTTTCGGGGTTTTAAAAAGGGATAAAATAATCTTCAAATCCAGTCTTTGATCCATCTGTAGGGAAGTGCCAAATAAATTCCTAAAATTATCAATGGTGATCAAAGTGGCTTCTTGAAGGGACGCTCTATTGCAGAAAATATTTTTCTAATTGACAGTATTATAAATTACGCAGGTAATATGAATAAACCTGGTTTATTGATGTTCATTGACTTTGAAAAGGCATTTGACTCGATAGAGTGGGCTTTTATAGAAAGAGCCCTTAACTATTTCAATTTTGGGCCCTCTCTTGTAAACTGGTTCAGATTATTTTATAATCAGGTCTCCAGTGCTATCCAGAACAATGGATGGGTCTCGGAGAGCTTTTCTTTAGGTAGAGGGGTCAGGCAAGGTCGGCCGATGTCGCCATATCTATTTATAATATCGGCCGCGATATTAGCCAACTTCATTAGGAGAGATAAAGATGTAAAAGGTTTTATGACGGGTGAAGTCGAACACAGGCTAAGCCAATTTGCTGATGACACGACGTTGATACTCGATGGCTCAGTGGGCTCTTTTCGTAGAGCAATCGAGGTTCTAGATGGGTTTCAAGTGATTTCTGGCCTTAAGGTAAATTATGAGAAAACCAAAGTGCTCTGGGTGGATTCGGCAAAAAACAGAGGCCTTATAGAGTGCAACAAGCCTGATATCTCCTGGGTGGAGGGGAAAGTCTTTGCATTAGGTGTGTGGTTCGCAACGGACAGAAACGTAATGCTCCCTTCTAACTACGATGAGAGGATTGGGAAAATAAAAAACGTTATTGAAACATGGCAATTTAGGAAATGTGGTTGATGATCAGCTTCCCTTGAAAAAGATGAGAGTCCGCGACAAAGACGTACCGTATATGACCACAAGTTGGAAGCAAGCAATACGTGCCAAGAGAAGAGCTTCAGTGAAATATAAAAACCATCCTACCCAAGAAAACTGGGAAAACAAAAAGAAATGCAGAAATGAGGCCACTAGGCAAAGACGTTTGGCGATCAAAGAACATTGGAGAAAGAAAGCGGATGATCTAAAGGTAAACCCAAGGGACTTTTTTTAAAACATTCAGGCCATTCTTATCAACAAAGAGTCACAAGGGTGATATCGAGATTCATCTTAGAACTGACGGCGATGTCGTAGAAAAACGTCAATTCAGGGTCGCAGATCTGTTCGCTGATTACTTTGCCACAATTGCTGACGGTATTGGGGGTGATAACAGCAAATTAGATTCACCGGAGGACTTTCAAGATCATCCAAGTGTAGTAGCGATAGCCAATAACATCAGAAACAAACAACAGTATGACATTGAGCCTATCAGCAATGCCCATGTAGAACGTACATTGGAAAAGCTTAACGAAAGAAAGGCAACGGGGTACGATGGTATTCCACCGAAAATCATGAAAATTGGAGCAGCTCAACTTTCGAGTTCGCTCGCTATCCTCTTTAACTCGTGTATCAACAATAGAAAATGGCCTAGTCAATGGAAACGAGGTGAATGGATTCCGACTTTTAAAAGAGATGACGCTCAAGCGATTAACAATTACAGACCAATAACAGTTCTGCCATGTGTCGATAAAGTGTTTGAACAGCTGCTAGGAAAACAAATATCTGATAAATTTGAGAGCCAGCTCGCTGATTGTCAATCAGCATATCGAAAATATCGTAGTTGTGAAACTACCCTTGTTGGTCTTGTTGAAGACTGGAAAAAGTCAAAAGATGAAGGCATGTCTGTCGGCATTTTATCTACGGACATGTCCAAAGCATTTGACTCGGTTCATCGGCCTCTATTGTTAAGTAAACTCAAGTCTTACGGTTTTAACGACAGCTTCGTCAATATGCTAAATAGTTATCTGAGCGATCGCTATAATAGAGTCAGGCTGGGATCTTCTGTAACTAGTTGTTGGAAAAGTGTTGTTCGTGGCTGTCCTCAAGGTTTCTCTTTGGGTCCACTGATCTGGAACATCTTCCAGAATGATCTTGTATATAACATTGATGCTAACATCTCGATGTATGCTGACGATCATCAAATATATCAAACAGGCAAAGGAATCAGCACAGTCCATACCAAGTTAGAAGAAAGTGCCAGTAGTGCAACTGACTGGTACGAAAACAATCTCTTGGAGGGTAATTTGAAGAAATATCAGACTATGTTCATTCAAAATAAATATGGTCATAAGAAGGAACAGTTCAGTTGTACAGAACATAACACAAACCTGAACCTAAATGGCAAGATTATCAGGACATCTGACTCGTTGAAAATCTTGGGAGTCACATTAGACAATAAGTTAAATTTCAACGAACACATCAACGACGTATGTAACAAAGCTAGTCAAAGGGTTGGGGTAATTGTGAGATTGAGAAATCTAATTCCCACCACGGCAAAGTTAGTACTTTTTAAATCAGCTATCTTGCCATACTTAACATACTGCCACCTTGTTTGGCATTTTTGTAGGGCAAGCGATACTCGTAGACTCGAAAGAATCCAGGAAAGAGGACTTAGGGCTGTGTATAAGGACACTAAGTCCAGTTATCATCAGTTATTGAATAGGGCTAACTTGCCAACACTGTTGAATAGACGTCTTCAAGACATATGCGTCCTAATGTACAAGGTTAAACACACTAAAATGAGTTCCGAAGCCATCACCAACATTTTTAAACCTCGCGATTCATGCTGCAGTTTAAGAAATTCAGACTTTCTTTTACCCAGGTTTAACACAGTTTCATTTGGTAAGCATTCCCTTCGATATTTAGGTCCCATTTTATGGAGTAAGCTGGACAAAAATGATAAAACGTGTAAATCATTAAGTGATTTTAGAAACCGAATGCGTAATAAGGATCTGACATCTCTTATTGATGATGGATGCAAAGGATGTCTTCTGTGTGATAGTTGATGTCTCATCGGAAATAATTTTAGCATTTTAGCACTCAGCTTTAGTATTTTAGCTAACAATTTGTAACATATTGTATGGATTTTTTTATCCACTTAATTATTGTATCTATTATATTTTAACTGTAGGTGTCCCCTATTAGTAGAGGGCCTGCCCCTCGGCTAGTTTTTCTTTCTTGACACATAAATAAAGTTTCTATCTATCTCACCTTATTGGGAAAAATCACTCTTATCAAAAGTCTTCTGGTCTCTCAACTCATTTATATTTTGACTCCGCTCCCTACTTATACAAACGCACTGCAAACTGTCAACAAACTTCTTTTTGAGTTCCTTTGGGACGGTAAAGGCGACAAGATTAAAAGAGAGCATATTATAAGGGATTATGAGCAGGGTGGTTTGAGGATGATTGATATACATACGTTCAATAAGTCTCTCAAAGCATCCTGGATCAAGAAGTACCTTGACCCGACAAATAATGGAAGATGGAAGTTTTTCTTTGATGTTAATCTTAAAATGTATGGTGGGAAATTTATTTTCTCTTGTAATCTACACAAGGATGACATTCCACTGTTAAAAATACGTAATCCTTTTGTATGTGAGGTCATGTCAATCTGGGCGGAATTGCATTTCTCTGATGCTGTAGCCATCTCCATT